ACTACTAAATAAAAATATTGTTTTATTTGTATATACTTTTTTAACCTATTTCAATATTAGAAGAACATTTTGTTATGTACGAGAGTAAAAAGAATATATAAACTTAAATATCTATGTATTTAACAATTTTCGTTGCTAACTGTAGCTACCATTGTTTAGTTTGAATATTTTTATTCAAATTCCAAAATATCTGATTGCTTGTTCAACTCACCTATTCTGTGTATTTTTGTTATTTATATATGTACTTGTGACGTTTCAATGCATGGCCTTTGGGTCATTTGTACCTAGTATATTCTTTAACAAATGACAGCAAAAACTCAAGAGGTATGTACTTAAAAATAAACATTTGTATGTATTAAATAATTCTAAGTACGTTATATAGATTCGTTAAAGGAATCTGTTCAGAGTAAAGATTAACGAACGATAGAATGTTCCTTTAATAACATTGGTTGCACGGTTGGCGCATCGATTGCTATGCACCGTATCGCGTGTTCGATTTCTTTAGTGTGATACACAAATCATTGTTCAAGTCCTGAGTGTCATGTTATGTGCATATAAAATTAAGTGTTTTTAAACGCATCTATCACAAGGAATTAATCCACTACAACACCGTGTACGGGACAACGAGCACCAATTTACTTATTATATCTCAGGCACAATTAAAACCCTCAAAACGAAGACACGTTTTATTTTTATTTTCTAAGGAATAGGAGGTAAACGAGCAGTCGGATCACCTGATGGTAAGCGATTAACGCCGATTGCGGGTGTCTATGGGCATATACATCCGCAATACCAGAGGAGTCACAGCTGCGACTTTAATTAAGTGCAACGTAAATTGTTTTCCCTAACTCAAGAACTGTTTTTCGGTATTTACGTTCGACCCACGAGGCAGTCAATATCAAATGATTAATAAATATCAAATGAATATCGTCATAGAATAAAAATGATGCGTCATAGTATCATCTGCAGTTCTTCCAACGACCTTTTGCCCTAACAACGACCTCAACCTTGACTGAATGATGTCAAAGACGGTGCAGATTGTATATTATTCGAATCACTATCATTTTGTTAATAATAATAGTCATCATTATTTATGACACCCACCTAATGGGTGTCATAGTTTTAACACATTTGTGTGTTTTGTTTATTGTGTTTGATATAATCATGCATACATGAGGTTAGGTAGAGGTTCATGTGTTAAGTGTGGTTTAAGGAACGGGGTGGATTTTAGTCGGTAAAAGTCTTACACTCCCTCCCGCCTACCCAGGGGGGAAAAGTCATTCGACGATTTACGTCGAAAAAAAATGTGTTAAGTGTAATACCCATTTTTAGACCATTATGATTTATAAGACGCATGTATAGATAAAGCGAGAGAGTATGATAATAACAACCCGAAATATTACAGTAGTTACCGTCAAAGGTTTTATCAGGGAAAGGAGATTTTGTAATTTCACTCACACACGATAAAAACCACTTCAAGCACTGTTTCGCGTCGGTTTTCTGTGAGGCCGATCACTTCGACCGAGCTGTCATCCATTCATGCTTAAGCATGGCTCTGCCACGTGGGAAAAGCTATCAAGATCGCTCAGAATTAAATATTAACTTAACATTATATTAATAATAAGTCAAAACGGTTTTATCTTCACTTCAATTTATATCACGTCAATAAACCTACTAAGTTTCTCAATACACACATACATTAATATAATTTGTATCAATAAACCTTCAAAAATAGCGGTAATGTGACCAATTACTTTATAATATGGTTTATGTGTAGTTTCATCGGTTGTTAATTTATTTCTCGTAAAAACTTGTCTCTCATGTAGTCATCTTTTATTACTCGAGGCTTGCAACATCTGAACAGTTATAAGCGACAAAACACCTTGTTACCAATAAATTGATTCTACAGATAAATCGCTTTTTAGTTTTAATGCCTTTTTAATTTTATTTCAAATAAAATAGTATATATTTAATAGTGTATAAGTGTTATTACTTCGACTTGAAGTATTTTTAACGTTAATTAAAAGTTGTAGGTCAGGTAGATGCCTATAAAATCACGCCTTGTAATCTCCATAGGAGTAGGCACGGTAGATGTTAATAACGAATATTCAACTACGTATGTTATGAATACCTTGTAAGTACTGTAAAAGAAAGTGAGCCTATTACTTTATTGGGGATTAAAAAAAAACCCAGCAATGCTTTGTGCGTACTGGGTATCGAACTCGAGATATTTGCTCGACAGTCACGTAGGTATGTCCACTAAACTCACGTGGCAGTCATATTACTTTAAGCATTATTAATTTAAAATAGTTTTGTGTGAAATAGGATTTGTAAAGGTCATAAGGTTTATGAACTCGTGTTTAAGTTAAACAACTTAATGAAGACGTCCTCTACTCAAATAATGTATCAACTGACTCATCATCAACAGCCTATGAATGCCCACTGCTGAGCAAAGCCTCTTCTCACACTGAGAAGGTTAGAGCGTTAATCACCACGCTTGCTCAATGCGGGTTGGTGATTTCAAACTTATAATTAGAAATTATATAAGTCCAGGTTTCCTCACGATGTTTTTCCTTCACCGTTTGTCAGTGGTGTCTAAATAATCTTAGAAAGTACATATAACTCGGAAAAAGTCACATTGGTACTTGCTGTTGGTAGGTTTCGAACCCGCACCCTCATGCATGAGAAGTGGACGTCTTAAACCTCCGGGCCACCACGACATTCACGTCACACGACATTTCAACTGACTGAATGCAATAAAATTAAGTTATTGCCGTTTCAGTTTCGAATAGATAAGTAATTAGTTTAGACTGCTTCGTTGCTCTGGTCTAGTTGTCACAAGAACTGTGACTAATACGGAAATCGAACCCCATTGCTGGCCCATATTGAATTTTGTACGCCAAACAAGTTGTAACCTGTACCAGCATACATACAAGATTCCACAAAGAACAGAAGTTTCTAAACACTATTCTGTAAGGCGCACAATATATGCGCACTCCTAGAACGCGTGACTCATTTTCCAAAAAGGCGTTTTACGATTCAATCGCACTTTACAATAGATCCCAGTTCTATTGTTAAACTCGTGCGCACTTATCCCAAACTCTGACCGTTTCGCCCGTATTGTCGCGATTTCCTGTTCGTTCTCGAAAAAGAACAATGTTCAGGTAAGGTCAGGTACAATTTTTTTTTGTGGCAGGTACTTGTTTCTTGGAAAATTTGCAAAAAAAATTGGTTAATTTTTCTGTCATCTATGCTTATGTCGGTGGAGTAAGGTCCAGTTTCGGTTTGTTTTTGGCTATTTATGGAACGTTTAGAGGGTGCAATGTGGGAATGTAAAGTAAATTATGCGTATACGGAGCTAGGCGAGCGAACGGTAATTTTGAAAAAAATGTGTACTGTACTGTTCAGTTGTATAGACAACAGAGATAGAAATTTATAGAGATTGGGTGTCGATAAGGCTTTAGTGAACTGAAGGAACCTTCTTAGTGACATCTTAAGTATTTTTAATGAGGAAAGAATATCAAATTGTTATCATTTTTTTGTTTCTGATTCAACAGAGCATCATTTTTGACAAATTTTTATTAAAAGTCCTGCCGCAATGAGACTATTGCCATACTCCATAAAAAATACCAGCCATCATGCTATTACGAAGCATTTTCGAAAGTTCGAGAATCGAACTCAAGACAATTGTTTGGCAGTCTCACTTGCAACCACTCAACCAACGAGAGAGTGGAGATTGAGAGGAAGTAATGGTAGTTCTTGATGAAATAAATACAGATTTCAATTTTCTCTATTTTTAATTTAATATTGCAAAGCTAGTATTTTAAGCTCTATATTGTTTGAGCTATACCAAAACGCCTTTGTTGTTTAAACACCGTAAAGGAGTGGTTTTTCGGATGATTTATGTGTCTCCAAATATATTTCGTCAACTACGAGAAGTCAAAGCTGCGACATGAATGTGAGTATTTAAATAATATTTTCAGGTATGTATTATATGAAGTTTGAAACTGCTATCTCTCTTTGAGTTTGATCAGTAGAGAGAGAGAGAGAGAGAACGATCAAAACTTTACAGTAGTAACAGAAAAATATTTTGCAACGATTCCTTAAATCGGTTACAGCGCGGTGGGTCCAAAATGTCCGGACAGGAAACCGAAATCTTGCAAACAATTGACCCTAGTGTTTAGCAAAACCCTTGAACTAATCTCCCGGTCCTTTGTACCTGTCCCTTTCTTTGTCCCTAATTGGTCTGGTCGAAGGGACCCTTTGTACCTTTCGCAGCACAAGGGTTGACCATAAGGGATTTAATTTTACATTTACCTGTTTGTTGTTAAAGAAAGAAAGTAAGGGATTATTGCACAGCTTTGTGCATTTTTTTTGACGCTGTAAAAAGAGGTACTCTTTATTATATTCCTAGGTCCTTGTATAATCTTAGGAAATAGTGATACAATCTGATTGTTTTGGAAATGGTTTTGTAATTTTCTAACAAAGAGTTACGTAGGTCTATATTTTTTAAGGTTATATTCGCAGAATCTAAAAATTCCAATAATATAGTTTTCTAAATAACATTAATATTGTTACATTAATATCCTAAAATCATTGCGAATTTCAAATAAAAAATAAGACAACACATTTTAATTTAATGAACATGGTGCCGGTTCCGTCGGCAGTTTCATTCCGTGTTTACAAAAGACATCAACGCGCGAACATGTTAGTGCAGCCGATGTAGCAGCAACAATTACTGTCAGAAATTAATAAATAAATTTCGTTTTGAATTAATGTTAAATATTTACTATAAAGATAATACATTAATTCTCTTTATTGATAGGTATAATACTTTTATTATTGCTACGAGTGACTAAGTACGGAAGGAATATAATTTTATTATCCGTACAATTAATGCTGTTGTAAATTCTGTTATTGTATTTCGTATTCATTGAATTTATATCATTGTTATTATTCTTAGCTAATTAAGAATTAGTTGGTAGAAGGAAAATACTTACGGTCAACCAATTCTTCCTCATAATCAGAGAAGCATTTGTCTTCTTTCAAGTTCTGATTGTCAGGTTGTTGGTAAAATCTTTCTGATTTTATATACATTTTCAGGTACATTACTAATCACAGTCACATATATATAGTACAATATATTACATCCGTTGTTATTGTTATTGTCACAGGTATAAGCCACTTTGTTTCTCAAATCAAAAGCAGGTACTAAACGATATCACTTATCAACACTAAAGTTATCCAAAAAAGTCTAAATTTATATACAAGCCGCGTACACACATATAAACAAGATTTAAAAAAGGAATGTCAAAATAATAATCACTGTCCAATGACATCACAGGTCACAACCTTACGTCCTTAGCTTAAAACTAAAATGTTTATCACAAAATTGTCTTCACACTATCACACATGTATATAAAGAGTCACAAATATTTACTACCACCCCGTTTGCTTAGGGTGGTCGGAAACCAGCGTCGTGTATTTTAAATTGGACCGGTACGCGCAACCGAGCCGACCGAGGTGCGCACCGACACTGACGACCCGCATCACCCGACGGATCGGACCTTTGACAAAAAAAAAGCACACAGGTAGGTAGTGGCCGGGGCTTGCAAGTAACAGAGCCTTTACTATAGATTATACACAATATTGGGAAGCCTTTACGGTGTTCAGCCAACGTTTGTTCCCTAGTTCACGTGGTGTTTGCGAAGTTGGGCGACGCTATTTATTGATGGGCGAGTCCATTTTTGTGGCGCATGGAGTTGAGTCAAGAGAATTGTTGGTATTGCTGCTGTGTTTGTACTCGTTTTGAGGGTGTTAAAATAAATGTGATTATGTATCTTGTAGTTTTTGTTAGTATTTTGATTGAATGAAGGAGATTTTTGCAACTATTTTGTTGCATAGTTGCATACACACATCACACGTGTCTGGGCGACTAGGCATTATTGATAAATTATGAATCTACTAAATAATATTTTTTTTCTATAAGCTTACACTTAAAACCTTGTTATGTTTTGTTGAAATAATTTAATAAATGAAATTAAAAACTTGTTGTTGACAAAATGAAAAAAATGATATTAACGACGATGTTTACAATAAATCATTAAATGTGACATTTAACTGATGTTTATTTCTATACTTCTTGTATGAGGAAAATATTACGTGACAGACATCCAGTCCTGATTTTCTAATATTTTATCTACTATATAAGTAAGGTGTTTTATAATATTGTATATAATAGTCTAGTCGGCATGTTATGAAGTGGTGGAAATGTAGAACTGCAATGTATTATTTTAGAAATAATTACATTATTTTAATTATCATAAATGATGTAAGATCTTTGCCGTTGAAGTCTATTACACGTGAAAACAATAAAGTAAGGTTATATAGGTACACAAAATTAACTCCACGGGATATTTCCCATATACATATATCATACTATATTCACACCAAATCCAGCAATATGATTGTCAATTTTAATCGAGATTAAATTGATAATCCTATTATTATTAATTTATATTATTATAAACCCATTATTGTCCGGGCAACACTAAGCGATCGTTTATTATTATTTATTTCATTTCATTGTAATAACATATAACATAATAAGGTCGATATTCTATTAAGTTATTCGTTTATAAATTATGCATTGATTCGTAGTTCGAGCTACCGTGTTACCGCTATTATAGATTTATAAGAGATAACATACTGAGCTTACGCCAATGGTATCGATCTGAAATCGAATAAATTAACGAGTTTCTATCGATCAGTCGTTTCGATATCGATTCATGGGACAAAAAATGTCGATTTACATATGTATGTATACTGTAGTTTCGTGACTTATTAAGTATATTAGAATATGTATACAAATCTGAAAGTGAACTTTCTAAAGGTAGTCTTATCAAACATCTTTAGGTGTATGCAATAACAAATAGCATTGAATACCTACATACGTTGATTCTTACTTTCAATACGAAGTTGCATTTCTCAGAATGCCTACAGCTTCTTTACTACAATAGTTAAATCATAATTCTGTTACTTTGTTATTCAAGGCAGACTTTAAGCCTTAAATTATCGAATACATAAAAAAATACTGATTTAATAATAGTTCAACCTAAGAAAAACATAAAGTGCATCAATTTGATACCCTGCTCGTATTTCCTACAACGTATCCTAAGTATGTCGAAGGCTCTATATCTCCGCTTTATGGTATAATCACAATAGGTTGTCGCGTGGGCGCCGTGACACATTCTACCACTTCTCAAGGAAACAAATTCAAATCGATTTTTACCAAATTCGGACCAATAGTGGCGGATATGCTAACTTCTGATATTATTAAAATGCAATAACAAAATGTGACTAATGATAAATCATACTTTTTGTTGGAATTTACCATGAATAATTGGTTTTACATAAAGTTCAAATTGTTTAGTTTTAAAGGTCGAAGGCAGCTGATGCGTTAAATTTTTACTTACTATTTTTTATCGTCAACTAAGTAGGATTCGTTTCATATTTTTTAAATGAAGGGTTCTGTTAAATTAAATACTGATCTCTTGCGTTTCCATAACTATGGTTTCAGTTGAAAGATTTTCTAATAATATACGCAAAATAAAATTATTATTTTCACCTAAAGTGAAGACCATTTCCGAAAACAATTACCTAATTCGAATTTTAATAATATTATTATTACAAGTAACCACAGAGCCTACGTCTTCCTTGACCGCCATAAAACATTAGCTTGACCATTTATATGAAAATCAATTATAATATATTCAACCAGAGATGGTAAGACCACATTTTCCAACACTTACACGACAATAGGCTAACGACGTGCTTGGCTGGCGACCGCGGGGTCGCGGGTTCAAAACTGCAGCCCTAGAACTAGTATGGCGAAACTACATGCTTCGGGGTTAGGCTTGTTTATATTATAATTGCATATTTTATTAAAACAGAAATTACTGATACAATGTTTAATTTTCTTGAATGGTAGTTGTAGATGGCGCTGGTATCTTTTTAAAATATGTTTTCATATAATTGCTTACAATAGGTATACATACATTGTATTCTTATCGTAAGTATCGTTTTTCATAGTATTTTTTTAGATTCTATGTTTCCGTGGTTTAACTGTAACACTAGTCATTTTATGAAAACTTCACAATCAGAATAATTTAATTCCAATATTGTAATCGATACAGCCATCGACTCATCAATACTCCTACGCTTTATATTGTTATTCTTTTAAAACATTTTAAGTGTTACCAATAACATTGGTACTATTAAAGTTACTCTAAATTCTTTGGGTTTTCAAATAAATAAACCGCATAATTGCGTGAATTCCAACTTAATTGACTCGTCCACCTTCTGAGAGATCGTCAGGTTATTTATGACCTGTCCAAAATGTGAAGCGGCTCTTAAATCAGCGGTTATGATCCGCTTGTATAATTCAATAATGTAGGTGTTGAAATATTTGTGTTGTTTTATTTTAAAAGGATTTGAATTTTGGTGTAATATGTTAAATATTTTTTTCTTTTAAAAATCGTTGTCCCACACCAAGATTTTCTCCTGTGTCGTGGGTGCGTTTACAAACACACAAGTACACGAGTACATATACATGACACCCAGACCCGGTACAACAATTTGTGGATCATACAAAGAGTAGTTCCGTGCGGGAATCGAACCCGCGACACGTTGTGTAGCAGCCGGTTGTCCAGCCACCGCACGATTTGTGCCGTCAAGTGTGTCATGTTTAAAAATATTTCTGTCATTATAATTGTATTTAATAAGTTGACGCAATCACTTGTCCACCTGTTTTGTGTGTTCCCTAATCATAATAATTTTAAGTATCGTGGACACAAAGCTTTACATATCATCATCAACGAAGCTAAATACATACATTCTGCAAACTTATTGTTACTTTGCATTATAAGTACATACTACATATATAATAAATACATTTGCATAAAAATGTTATGAATGTTGTAAATTATGCTTTTTATCCCCGAAGGAGTTTTTGTTATGAGTCCTGTGTTATAGGGGGTAAGCCTATTGCCATACACCGGACCGCATTCGAAACTCTAAGCTTCTATTGTGTTTTTTTAAACAAACCCAGTAACAGTTTGCCCGACCCGAGAATCGAACACGACACCCCTTGTCCGGCAGTCGCACATGTGACAACTCACACAACACACCAACGAGGCAGTGCAAGTGTTTGTGTCTACGTTTATAATTTTGTTTTGTAGAATAAACAAACAAACTCATCAGCTTTATGAGTACAGATATATTCTCTCTACAAAGCTGGTTTTATGGCCCACACTTTACCAGCAAGTGGTCGGTATTAGGTCATTTATGTCAAATTTGGCGGAGGCGTCGTAATGTAGAAAGTGTTTTACATAGATGATGACCAGCACTATCAATGTTTACGATACAGTGAGAAAACTTTAGCAGTATTCAGTGAATTTTCTCCAATGTTAGTCCTAGTTTAACAGAGTGCTACAGAGTAAACAAGACCTTGCATGGGTTAGTTTAAGCCTCGAAATTGAATAACTGTTGTTTTAGCACATTTTGGGAAACAAAAAATTAAACAAACCTTAGAAATTCATGCTTTGTGTGAAAAGGCTGAAGTATTTTTTTATTTCTTTTTTATTTTTAATGGGTAAAACTTTACTTATTTTATTTGTTTCAAGACAAGCCTTTTGATGGATTCAAAACTGTGTAATGCTTAGTAAATGCAGCTAAAGTTCAATGTGAGAGGTTTTTCACTTTCGACATTCTTCATAGTGGTTTACATATCCATCCATATATTATGTAGAATTTACAGCCTTTACAATAACAACTAGAAAGTTTGTATAAAATCCATCTTAGCCTAGCCCTTCAGAGAAACAGTTAATACTAATGTTAGAAAATTATTGTAGATACCTTCATGTTATAATAACAAACAAAAATAAATATATTTTTTATTAACGTAATACGGACACTACATTCTAAAATCCGCTTTTATCTCCTAAAATGCATAAATTGACAGATTAAGTCAGCAAAAATAAGATTGAAATTATTGCACATTTATTTTTAATTCAAAAATAAGATTAACTGCATCGTTTTGGAATAAATATGACCATAAATATAAATACATAAAGAATTAGACATTTAAAATTGTTTTCGGATTTCATTTTAAATAGATAAAAATGTAAATCAACGCAGCGTAGATGTATTACTTTTTACCATACATTTTCAAATAAAAAAAATAAACTTAAACCGTGGCACGCGTTCTAAGCTTTTACTTGCTAATTAGTCAATCAATGACAAACAGAATCAATTTTAAAGATTCCTTGAGACAGAAGGAGAGCGTATAAAATAAAATATTATGTCTTGATGTAATATCTTGTTCTGAAACTTATAAGATTAATGACCCTTTTCACCAACCACGCCTAAACCGTCTCTTAACTAAAAGTTACTTAGCGTTGCTTAGCACCTAAACTAATCCCTTACTTGTACTGTACATTGGTGGTAACCAAAATATGGTT